GTGACGGTGCGGTCTTTACCTGGAAGGCAAAACCCTCGGAAGTCGACGACGACGACGAGTCCGATAGCGATGATGAGCGACCCGTTGCTTCGACGTCAAGTGGCACAGGCGGGCTCTACAACGAGATTGCCAATACGCGATGGGGGGTGCACAAGCGCAACTATTTCAACCAGCCGGGTACCAAGGTGGTATGCAGCACCTTCCATCGCGGCTCGAGCCTGCTGGTGGTCGGCTTCTCGACTGGCGTGTTCGGGCTCTGGGAAATGCCCGCATTCTCCAACATCCACACCCTGAGCATATCCCAAGAAAAAATCTCGTCGGTTGCCATCAATCCCTCGGGCGAGTGGTTGGCGTTCGGGGCTAAGAAACTGGGACAGCTCCTGGTATGGGAGTGGCAGTCCGAGTCGTACGTCCTCAAGCAGCAGGGCCATTTCTTCGACATGAACACCCTCGCATACGCGCCCGACGGCCAGCACATCGCTACTGGTGGTGATGATGGAAAGGTGAAGGTGTGGAACTCGTCGTCCGGGTTCTGCTTCGTCACGTTTTCCGAGCACTCAGCTGCCGTGTCCGCGGTGGAATTTGCGAAGCAGGGCCAAGTGTTGTTTTCCGCTTCGCTCGATGGGACCGTGCGCGCATTCGACCTCATCCGATACCGCAACTTCCGGACATTCACCTCCCCGGCCCCAGTGCAGTTCTCATGTCTTGCGGTGGACCCCAGCGGCGAGGTCGTAGCGGCAGGATCGACGGACTCTTTCGAGATCTTCCTGTGGTCCGTGCAAACTGGCAAGCTCCTCGACGTACTCACGGGCCACGAAGCGCCGATCAGCTCGCTCGCGTTCTCGCCTGCAGGAAACGTGATCGCGAGCGGGTCGTGGGACAAGACCGTGCGCGTATGGAGCGTGTTTGGACGCTCGCGCGCCGTCGAGCCGTTCACGCTCAGTTCTGACGTGCTCGCGGTCGCGTTCCGCCCCGACGGCAAGGAGCTCGCGGCGTCAAGCCTCGACGGGCAGGTCATGTTCTTCGACGTCGGCCTCGGCAGGCAGACGAACCTGATCGACGGGCGGCGGGACATCTCTGGGGGGCGCAAGGCGGACGATCGTATGGCCGCGTCGAATAACGCGTCGGGGAAGGCGTTCAACAGTCTCGCGTACACCGCGGACGGACAGTGCATCATCGCGGGCGGGAACAGCAAGTATGTCGTGATCTACGACACGCGCGAGGGCGTCATGGTCAAGAAGTTCCAGATCTCGCAAAATTTGAGTTTCGACGGCACGGAGGAGTTCCTCGACAGCCGTAAGGTGACCGAGGCCGGCAACGTCGACCTAATCGACGACCACGGCGACGCGAGCGACCTTGAGGACCGACTCGACACCGCGCTCCCCGGAGCGCAGCACGGCGACATGTCCAAGCGGCGCTACCGGCAGGAGGCACGCACCAAGTGCGTGCGTTTTGCACCGACGGGGCGCGCATGGGCAGCAGCTTCGACCGAGGGCCTGCTCATATACTCTGTCGACGAGAGCACCGCATTCGACCCGTTCGACCTCGACATCGAGCTCACCCCGCAGGCGCTGCTCGCCGTGCTCGCGCGGCGCGAGTTCCTCAAGGCGCTCGTGATGGCGTTCCGGCTGAACGAGCGGCCGCTCATCCAGAAGGCATACGAAGGCGTGCCCCGCGCGGACATCCGCCTCGTCGCGCGCGGGCTGCCCGCCGTCTACGTCGGGCCGCTGCTCCGGTTCGTCGCCGCGCACATGGAGCGCAGCCCGCACGTCGAGTTCGACCTGCTCTGGGCGAGCGCGCTCCTCGGCGCGCACGGGCGGCACCTCCGGGACCGCGCGGGCGAGTACGCGAGCGTGCTCCGGGCGCTGCAGAAAGGCTTGAGCGACTTTGAGCAGCTCGTTTCGCGGTTGTGAGTCTCTGCTTGAGGTTTGTGCGTGGAGGGAGTCGCTGACGCGTGGTGCTGGTGCAGATGCGAGGACAACCGCTCGACGCTCGACTACCTGATCGACCAGCTGAAGGTCAGGCAGGCGCGGGGGGGCGATGTCAAGATGGACGACGCCACTGCACGACCACTGATCGGCGCTTTCTGAGTCTCGTAATGTGAGCACCTTCGTGTCAAGTCGCGGCTAGCTATGGCTCATTCTGCTTCCAGTACAAAAGTAGTGTACTGTGCGCTGGGTGATTGTAGGAATAGACCGCTGCTTGGGTCCGAGCCAACCTGCTGTCCACCTGCGACACGTCCCAAACAGATACGCTTCTGACGAAGGAGATCGCTCGATTTCGTTCTGGCTGCCGAATTGGTCGCGTCAAGTATCGTATCGCCCGACGGCTCGAAGGGCCTGCTGGGTTCCGTGGGAACCCGGATACTGGGGCTTGCCTCGGTCCACAGTCCTGAAAACGACTTCGGGAAGGCCCAACGTGAACAATAGTCGTGGCAGTGTCGGAGCCTCATACGTCCTTGTGGCCCATCTCGACGCCTTGTCCTGCACACTTACCACCACCTTGTCCTGCCCATTGTGCTCCACAACCGCGCCGCCCCTCGGCCTCACTGAAGACGGAGGGTAGAATCCGCCATTTGCCTTCATCTGCGAGCAACGTATACACCATGGCATCGACCGGCAAGGTATTGGCCACGGTACCCTTCCTTTCGCTTTCCCTGTCAAACCCATTTGATGCAGCATTTGAGACATTCCGCCACACCTACAGCTGCGTAGTCCTGAGAGGGCCAGACTGGACGCACGACACCTCACATGGACAGAAAGAGAGGTCACGGACGTCTTCATGAGTGACTCAGTCTACTCGGGCTATCTGTTCCAATCGCATGCTTGCAGACCATAGTCGTCAACGAACGGCAGCCCGCGCATGGTATGCAACACGTCCTGCCTCGGCACTGCTCCGAAAAGCCTGTATCCGTCAGAGGGGCGCGTCCATGAAGTCCTATGGTGCGCACCTGGTTATGTCGGATGTATCCACCCGCAATGTACCAACTGTGTGCTACCCAGGCGCTCGATTGAGTCGCAGCCTACGAAGTTCGGGAGCACCCATCACACGCACGGTCACGAACGTCATCCGGAAGCTGCCAGCGCGGCGGCCGTGCACGTGCTCGATAGCCGCGGATGCCAGCACCTGTGCGGCGGTAGCAGACGATGACGTCGAGGCGGCTATGATGCACCCACACCTCGATCTGGCAAGCCGCCTGCCCAATCCGGCATCCATCCAAGTGGCTGGCGCTTGAGCGACGATCGTTGCCGCCAGCCTCTCGGCCGATCGACAGCAGAGAACATAAACCTCGACGGATGCGATGGTCGTCCCCATCGCACTCTCACACTCCCCTCATCTCCCTGCCCACCTAGCTCGCATTTTCCCCGTCTGAAATTCGATTCATTCAGTCATGAGCGCAAACCCTGGACACACCTCCAACCTGCGCTCAGGCAACCCGAACGCCTCCATGCACCTTACTGGCCAGGGAGGCCGTCCCCGCGTGAGTCGAACACTGAGCTTCTAAAACGCCAACACTCACCCTCGTTTGTGGCGCGTAGACTATGATCGTAGGGATGGCCCTGGTCGCTGTGGGCTTTTACGGCTTCTGGCGCCTGCAGTTCATGAAGCAGAACAGGAGCCACACCTCATCCAACCCCGCCGAGATGCCCACCTGTATGTCCCGTTTTCCACCGCTTGTGGACAAGGTGTACTCACATCCGGTTATATGAATAGGGCAATACCGCCACGCCCAACAGGTGCCCGAGTTCAACGAGCGCGTTAGCTCCCCGGGTGGCACTGGAACCAATCTCCGCCCGCGCGAGCGCGGCGCACAGCTTAACGGAGCCTCGCTCGCCACCGCCAAACCTGTCGATGCCAAGAGCAGCAGCGGCGGCGGCGCCGCGACGAGCAACATGGTCCACGTCGGCTCGCGCGAGAGCGGCGGGCGCGGCCTCGAGAGCGGGGGCGCGAGCGAGCGCGGGGGCGAGAGCCACGCGGCGGAGGACCCGCGCGGGAAGGACAATCATGTGCAGACCCGCGGGGATGAGACTCCGGCCGGGCGGGGCGTCGTTGCGTCGCTCCTCACTGCGGTGCAGGTGAGGGTGTGCCGCGTTCTCTGGAGGAAGGCCTTAACATTCTGTGCCCAGGGCGACCCGCGCAACGGTACGCAGGATGAGAACGGTCACGTCGGCGAGCCGGCGGGGCCGAGGCGGATGAACGACCGCGGTGGCATCTATACCAAGGTCGGTAACTCGTGAGCGACAAGGGGATACGTGCTGAAAGTTGTTATAGAACTCCGATTACAAGGACGGCTTCCGCAGGGACTGAGAGCATGTTATAACTATCGACAACCCCACTCCCTTTCCCTTCCCGAAGTGATTGTGTGACAATCCATGTACGATACGCCCAGAGAAGCTAGTGTGATGAACCTGTATCGTTAGTACACGCCAATCCTAGGTTGGGTCAGTCCCGACAACGATTTTGGACCTCGGTCAAGTCTACAACGCTGGCAATAACTCACGGAGGCCCTTTCAGTTCTCGCTGCATTTTGTGTTGTTTGGGCGCATGCTACGTGCGACTTTCCTCCCTGAAATGCTATGCAACGCGGATTTCGGCTACTGAGAGTGAAACCATGGACACATCGCTCAATTGCACATAGCTATGCCAAAATGCGAGTTCGCTAGGGGGAAGGCCATGGTGCCACCGCCGGGGAAGACAGCGCGAAGGTTCGAAGCACCGTATGATGCTTACATTATCTAAATAGGTACGGACTCTACCCACATAGCAACTTGACGCAGTGGAAGCGTGCAGGGCTCATAACCCTGAAGTCCCTGGATCGAAACCAGGAGTTGCTAACAATTTCATTTTTAATTTACTCATCAGCACTCCCTAACTAACGCTCCCACGTGATAGTCGGTCCACAGGTGGGAGCTGGGGTTGCCGAGGACATTTTCTCCACGAGAGCAGCCTTGAAGTTAATGCCCTACTATATAACTCCACAAAACAAATACAGTTCATGTGGTGCTATAGTGTAGTGGTTATCACTCGGGATTTTGATGAACATCTTCCCGAAACCCAGGTTCGAACCCTGGTAGCACCTTCAAGGGTTCTCTGACTATTTTTGCTGCGCAACAGCGAAAGGACGTGACGGGACGGGACGGGGCCAGGCCTGCGCACACGCCAACTTGCGTATAGGTACATATGTATGATTATCAGCATTATCTGCCGCCGCGATACACAGTATACCTACCTACTGAGCACCTGCATGTACCGCCGCCACATGATGCGAGTCGTACACGTGCACGGGCGATCGCGTTCCCGTCCACGGTTTCTTCAAGACGACCCATCTCAGTTCAGGACTTCGGTTTTCATCCGAAGAGGACCGACCCTCATACGGAAACTGGTGGCCCGATGCCAATGCTGCCATGTTCGGACGCTTGACATACAATATGTAGCAGGCCGCGCGTCGCGCACCATGGTATGATTATGGATGCTAGTCAGGACTTGGTGGCCGGGCGGCGGGGCCCGGGCCCGGTGAGTCGGTGAGTGGGACAGTTCCAACCCGGATTCATGGTCCTCCCTGCGAGCGACCCGGGGGGGGAGACCCTACCCGGAGAGAGCATCGACCTCAGGCTAGGGACAGGCGCGGTGCATCCAAAGGTGGTAATGTATGATATTTACTGCGGGGGAAGTGAGCGTGATGACGAGTGCCCGGCGGCGATTGGCATGATGCACGCGAGCTCAGGTCGGTCGAGGCCGGGCACAGTACCGGGCGGAGGGGGGCGCGTGTGCGAGTCTAAAGGTTGCGTATGAGGGCGGGGGATCTGCGTGTCTGCGTGCAGTAGACGGGGCTATGGACTTAGTATGTAATCGCGATGAGCGAACGGGACGAGCCGGGGGCGCACTATAGTATGGTGAGTAATAACGGCGGCAGTATACAGCCGCGTAAGTCTATGATGAGAAGATGGGCGAGATGGTGGATGGTGCGAAAATGCGAAATGCAAAATGCGAATGCGAGGTGCGAAATGCGAGGTGCGAGGTGCGAAGACGAGGATCCCGATGCCGACCCTCGACACAAAAAGGGAGTCGAGATGGGGCGAACGGGGTGGATTTCGACGAGCCGAGGGAGCCAATGGTGCGTGCAAGGAATTGCATCGCAGTGCGAACGGCGCAAAACGCGCGTGTCCTCCGAAGTTCTTTCCAGTAGTCCGAGGTGAGAAAAGGCCCGCCCGCGCGGCTTCCGCTAGAGAAACCGGCGCAGGCGAGCCCGGGCCCCAAGGGCCCGAGAAACACCGAAGAAGGCGAAGGAGGGGAAGGGAGGGGAGGGGGAGGGAAGGGGAGGGGAGGGGGAGGGAAGGGGTGAGCGGGGCGAAAGAGCCCGGGTGCGTGCCAATAGCCTTTCCGTAAGCCCAGATCTGGTGGGAGGGCGCATCAGTCAGGCCGTTTCGCGCTTCCCACGGCGCCCCGGGCTGCTCACCTGCCCGGCGGGCCAGCTGTCACGCAAGGCCGCCACTGCCAGTGCCTGCGCGCACGGCACTACGCAGCGCGCACGCCGGACGGCGATCTGGAGCCTACTTGCGCCGTGGAAGAAGGTCGACGGCGAGCGCGGCGCGGACCTGGGGGCCCGCGGCGCCGAAATAGCGCTCGGTCTCGAACGACCAGACGAGGTTGCTGATCATCCAGTCGCCGAGGCCGGCGACGTACGCCTGCACCTGCGCGTCGAGCTCGGGCCCCCAGGAGGGGAGCGCGCGCTGGAGCGTATCGAACCGGTCGAAGCACCCGAGGCAGAGCTCGCCGACGTAGTCCACCGCGGACTGGAGGTCGAGTTTCTCCTGGTGCTGCACGACGACGATGAGGTTGTGCGTGTCACCTGCGGGAACGCCAAGCGCAACCGTGCGTCAGCGGTGTTAGGACGAGAGAAGAGAAGGTGCGTGCGCCGTACCGTTGGCTTGCTCCACGTTGTACGAGAAGATGTCCTGAAGGGGGCCCAGACTCAGCACACACGACCAGCATCCGACGCCGAGTACAGAACACGTACGTTCGACCACTGGAAGGAGGACGTTCGATCAACACGCGACCAACGCACACACATAAGCACACGCACCGTAACAATGTCGTTGGCGGCTTCTTCCAGGCCTCTAATGCATGGATGCTCCATCACCCAGTCGGGCAGGTCCAGCTGTCACGATGGCCCATCAGCTACATCTCAACGAAAAGGCAGCGAACGCTTGATATGCGGGCCGCTGTATGTGCGCACTCACGTCGTTCGCATACTCAATCAGGGCCCAGCACGGCTTACACCCGCTCGTGTCGCGGCGCATGGCGATGTACGACTCCACGTCAGGGATGTTGCCGGACTCGCGGTCGCGCGCCTGCTGCGCCACGGCGCGGAAGAAGAGCTCGAACGTCTCGACGAAGCGCCGCTGCGCGCCCGGGGACGCGTCCGCAGATAGCCGGGCCCAGAAACTGCGAGAAGAGGGAAGGGAAGGAGGCGGCGGCGGTGAGCAATGCAATGCATGATGGCAGGGACTGAATGGCCGGACGCGGGGGCGCGCCGCCCACGAGGATACTCACCTCTGCGTCAGCCTTCCTACCGCGGAAGCCGGCCGGAAGCCGTGCGGATCGCGCAGCGCGCCGAGAATCTCGCCGGCGGTGCTCACCGTCGCGGCGTCATCCATCTCGTCGCAGATGTTGTCGAGGTGGAAGAGGTAGTTTATCCAGTCGCAGCACGCCCGGAACCGGTCGTACTCCGCCGTCGGGTAGCAGAACGCGGTGAGGAGCCCGCCCTTGAGCCCGTGGAACGCGTCGCGCTTCTTCGCGCTCAACTTGCACCCGGACATGAGCCACGCCTTAGACTCCTCCGACGCGGCCTCGCAGTGCGGGTTGCATCGCAGAGGGTACGCGCAGGGCGTGATCAGGTCCGGGAAGAGGATCCTCTCAGGGCGAGGGGTGGCTGAGGCAGGGACAACGGCCATACTTCGGAAGGGGAGTTGGATGGGGCAGGAGGGGGGGAGGAGCACGGCGGAGGGAAGTTGGGTCCTACGGATGTGCAGCGATGCATTGCGCGCGTATAGGGCCCTTTTGAGGCCCGGCGGCACGTCCGAGTCGAGTGCGACGCGCGCAAACTCGCGGCGGATATCCCTGAGCACGCCGCCGGAACTCAGGGTGGGCAGACGCCCGCGGACCGCGATGGGACTCCGAAGTGACGGAGAAAATCGCGGGACGCCAGAGCGAGAGGCGCATTTCTCGGCATGCGATCGCGCAGGCCGTTTCAGGTGCCGCATTCAGAGAAAGGCCGTGCGCGGCGCGTCGAAGGGCGCAGCGGGCGGAAGGAGTTGCATGCAACAATAAGTTCGAAGATCGCGCGGGAAATCCAAGGGTGCATTGGCAGCGCCGTCCGAGGTACGCGACTCGCCCAAGCACATCAGCGTCGGGCAGCTCAGGCCCTGTTGGCCAAGGCCCGGCACGAGCGTGAGGTGCGAGCACGGTAGATTCTGCGCGGATGCTCGACACTCACATGGGCTGAGAAGTATACATTGATCGAAGGCTTATGAGAGAAGCGGTCGGCCCCGGCTTCCTACGCGTCCGCCTATGTGCCAGAGCCGCGTGCATTACAGCGCGAGCTTCCATCTGGGCACTGGGGTGAACGCTTCGTGCACGAATGTCGCGGCTGGACTTCTCCGCACGGTCCTGTGACACCCAGAATGTCAGCGAGCCGAAAAAAGGAACCTGTACACCCCACGACGCCGTACGTACAGTACAGCCTCAATTTTAGGGAGATCACGGACGAAATGTGCGTCGGCCATCTCCCTATCCCAGATACACGGGTGATCGCAGTAAAGAAGGAGCTAACCTGTTCTGACCTCGGTAGGTATTGGCGATGCACAGACCGTGGCTTGGCCACGTTGCTAGACCCCCCATATCACAGGAATTCGGATGGACGCTTTCGCCTGTCCTTCCAGACTACTGCCTCGTATGCGGTTTCCACCTAGCTGGGGTTGTGGATCAATGAGCAAAGAGTGCCATCACCTATTCGGGGGGAGAGATCAATTGTGACATTGACAATTCATTTGTTGGTTACGGAGCCGCATCTTACCACCGCTTAATCCTGTGCCTGATGGAGCCTATGAACATCATCTGTAGCATGAAGGCGGCCCTGGCAATATCACTTTTCGGTCCCCAATGTAAAGCCCGGGTGTATGCGGGTATGTTATAATGGCGGGGATGTCAGGATAGAATAAAGTCACGGAGAGGAGCAGCGAGATAAGCCTAACGCGACCTCATGAAGTTACTTCCCAGGCGTGAAGGGAATCGCCTCATACAATTTTGAGCATACGATGGGCGGCTTGACGAAGGGAGACTGACGAAGTTTGGATGCGCCCATCGGCTCGGAATGGCCTCGCCCCGTTGATTCGTCACGCAAGCGTTATTGGGGGATTGGGTGTGCAGGGTAACATCTCGTCGTTGTGCAGGAACAAACCCCTGGAAAGGACGCGTCAGGGTAGTCTTCGGGGATGATGCGATAATATCGGCGCTGAGGTGTGCGACCCCAGTCGTCGCCCACGGCTAGCTCTGCAAGGAACTGCTGGCGCTCGTTGTTGACCCTGGTAACACCGAGCTGCAGGGAGGTAGGGTCCGAGTATTGACAGCGAAATGTGCGCTGGTGTATCCAAGCCATAAGATCGCAGCAGCGGCACAGCGCCCTTGGGACCAAGGTGTACAGTGGGGGCATACCAACCGGAATCTGGGGTACAGATACCGTTTACATTGAGTGAGCGCGATGTCGTTTGCAGGGCGAACCGCGTAAGTGAGCGCTCAACCATACCCGATCAATGGGCGCGTTCACGGAAAGTCCATGCTGTGCTGCTCTCATAGCCACCCACGGCGCGGAATTCGGGTGGCCATAGCTGTGAGCTTTCGGCACATGTCATAAGAAGAAGAGACTTGCCGGCGAACAAGAGATACATATGTGTTGCAAGGGCCGCCGGGATTGTGGTAAAAACACCCACCAAGCCGCAGACTCTGAAAGTGGATGATGTTGTTCACGTTAGTTTCATATGTTTCTGCTGACACCTAGCGCCCCGCGTTCTCAGTGGCAGT